GGAAAAGTAGAAGCGGAAATCAGGAGGTTGGAGAATGAAGGAATTATCAAACCAGTGCAGGTTGCAGAATGGGCAGCACCGGTCATACCGATTGTGAAGCCTGATGGCTCAGTTCGCCTTTGTGGGGATTTTAAGCAAACGGTAAACCGCTTTATACAGCTGGATAAATATCCGATCCCTTGCATAGTAGACTTGTACACAAAGTTATTGGGGGAGCTGTCCTTTACGAAGCTGAGTATGAGTCACGCCTATCTGCAATTGCAACTGGATGAGGAGTCCCTGAAGTATGCTACAATTAATACCCATAAGGGTTTATGTCAATATACAAAAACTGCCATTTGGGGGATCATCAGCCTGTACCCTTTTACAGCTGACCATGGAGAACATTTTACAAGGGCTACCCCAAGTTGTCATTTATCTGGATGACATACTAATAACCAGGAAAACCAATGAAGGACACTTGAAAACTCGGACATAATGCTTAAACATTTCTCCCAGGCGGGCATATGCCTTAGATGGAACAAATGTGTGTTCCATGTGCCCCAAGTGACTTACTTTGGTTACAGAGTCGACAAAGCCGGGTTACACCCATTGAAAGACAAAGCGAGGGTGATCAAAGGAGCCCCAGCTCCAATGTCTGTACCGGCGCTTAGGAGCTTGGGGTTCCTCGGATCAGTGAAATATTACAGAAAATTCATACGTAACCTGGTCTCCATCTTGGCACCCTTACACCTGCTATTGAAGATGGGCCAGCCTTGGAAATGGTCGCAAAGCCAAGAAGCAGCCTTTAGGGAAATGAAAGTGCAGCTAGCTTCACCTAAGGTGTTGGCCCACTACAATCCGAAGCGAGAAGTACTGCTGACATGCGATGTTTCCCCATATGGTATCAGGGTAGTGTTGGCTCACTGACGGCCCAATGGAGAGGAACGTCTGATAGCGCATGCTTCCCGGACTTTGGTGATGCTGACCACCAGTATGCCCAGATCGAGAAGCAAGGTTTGGCGGTCATCTTTGGTGTGAGGAAGTTCAACCGGTACCTTTACGAGTGGGAATTTGTCATAGTAACAGATCACAAAACTCTGCTAGGGCTACTGAAGGAAGACAAGGTCGTACTGCCCACAGCGTCCAGTAGAATTCAGCACTGGGCCCTTACACTCCGCACATACAAGTACAAGTTAGAACACTGTCCAGGAAGCCAACTGGCTAATGTGGATGGCCTGACCTGCCTCCACTGGTAGTTACTCCACCGGTGGTGCCTCCCATGGAAGAGCTGTTGTGGTTTTAAACTTCCCGGACATCCATCTGGTCACCACAGACAATATCTGACTGTGGACGCAAAAAGATCCTGTCCTAGTCAAACAGAAACAGCCGGTGGTAATAGAGGGGGGAACAGAAGGGCCATCGCAACCGGGATTGAAGTCTTTTTGGACCCTGTGAGACCAGATCACCGTAGAGGACAGCATATTACTGTGGGGAGCAAAGATGATGGTCCTGAGTGAAGGTCGCCACCAGATATTGGCTGAACAACACCAGAGTCATCCAGAGGTTTCCAAGATGAAGATGCTGGCAAGAAGCTATGTTAGGTGGCCAGGGCTGGATGTTGATAGAGCTGCGTTGGTGGGGCAGTGCCCAGAATACTAACAAGGACAAAAATTGCCACCAGCAGCACCCCCATATTCATAGAAACAGCGGGTAGACCCTGGACTTGGTTGCATGTTAACTATGTCGGTCCTTTCATGGGCTCCATGTTCCTGGTCATTGTGGAAGCCCATTCAAAGTGGTTGGACATCCATAAAGTTGGTTCAGCAAGCTCAGATATGACGATTGAGAAGCCACAAGCATTGTTTGTGATACAGGGACTCCTGGAATTATTGATCACGGATAATAGCATGTCATTTATCAGCAGGGAATTTGAATATTTCCTAAAGTCAAAATGGCATTCAGCACATAAAGACAGCTCCATACCACATATCGTCCAATGGTCTAGCAGAAAGAGTGGTCCAAACATTGAAGGCTTAAAGAAGCAGTCTACAGCGTCAATTGAGACCAAACCTTCCCGGTTCCTGTTCGATTATAGGACCACCCCTCACGCAACAACAGGGATAGTTCCAGCAGAGTTGCTGATCGGGAGAAGACTCTGCACCAGGTTAAATGTAATATTTCCAGGCCTGGGGATGGGAGGGTGAAATGGCAGCGGGAACGCCAAGGTCAGCCAAATGCCGCCTCTAAGTGAGAGAGACAGTTTAGGTGAAGTTTGGTGCTGGTACCATGGAAATGGCCCTGTGTGGGTACAAGGTGAGGTTGATGTGAGGTCAGGTCCCGTGACTTACAAAGTCAAGAACAAACACATGGATCACCTGAAAGCTGTTACCTCGCAAACGGGGCAGGAGCAAAACATACCTGGCCCCTCAGAACAGCTGGAACACCCGACAGAAACCACCGGTGCTCCCCCTCCGTCTAGTGATGAGGAAAACTTAGAGTACAAAATGGATGCAGCCTCGATACCGTTGCCACAAGGAGAAGAGGAGGAGGCTCTTCCGAGATGTTCTGGGCACAAGAGATGGGCCACGGTCTGGTATATGCTACCTGTGTCTGTGTCCAAGTCAGAGGGACCAGTGAAAGCATTGCAAGAGAAGCTACAAGTGAAAGATTAGGCCTACATCCCTGGACTCAGTCAGTGAGGGATGTAGTGATTGGAACCTGGTGGACCTCATTAACTACAAGGTTCTTGATTGGGGTTGTTAACCTTGTCCAATCAGGAAAGCCTTGGCTGACCAACGTAACCAGGAAATTAGAATCTCCTCAGTTGAGGACTGACTCTGAGCTGGATGGCTACTGCCAGTGTGCCAGTAAATAAAGGGTGACTTGGTGATGGGATGCTGGCCGCTGTGCAGTTATTTCATATAGTTAATTCTTCTGTGGTTTTTGTTTAAAACTTAGAGTGATGACACTGATTTTAAGAGTAGGAATTTTAGTCAAGGTTAGGATTCAGTCTGGATGCAGGCAGGCCCTCGATTTGGTAATCAGGTTTTGTGCCAATACCCCCATCATGAACCGGACCTCAGAACCAGATTGTGTGTTCACTGACAAGCAATGGGTGGTTACATAACTTGCAACTGATCTAACTAAGAGGTCTATGAAGGCACCACCTATGATTTCCAGTATTCAATTTCTTAAGACCACACTGCTTTCAACCAGCCTGCTGTGGTAGGCCACAGGACAGTTGTGGGGTTTGAGGTCTGTGATTGCTCATGCAAGAACCCTCTCTCACACTCCTAATGGTGAAAGTAGGATTGTGTACAGGTGGGAAATGTTAACGGGGATAGAAAATGTTGGCCAAAATATCAAGATATTGAAGGGACAAAACTGAGACAGGAAACAGAATTCAGTATTAAATTACATTCTTAAAACAAATGTAACTATAAAATAGAGTAAAAATATTTTAAGTATGCCAGATATCAAAAGAAACTTTGCTTCTGAAAATCTTTGTGTTAAAATGCATAGTCTATCTTCCGTATTGTGTAAAGTTCATGGAATGTCACACCTGTAAAGTGTCAGGGAAACTCCAAAGAGAAAGAGGTGTCTAACAATGAAGGGGTTGACTATCTTCCCTTTTTCAGCAGAAAGTCACCTCTTAAAGAATCATGGGATTTGAAAGTACAGAAGGAGGTCATTTGACCCATCATGTTTGTACTAGTTCCCGAAAAAGCTAGTCCCATTCTTCACCCCTGTCTTTGTAGCCCGTTAAATTAATCATTTTCAAATATATATTCAGCTCTCTTTTGAAACCACATATGGAATCCTCCTCCACTGCTCTCCCAGGGAGCATATTCCAAATCCCAACAACTGTCTGCATAAAGAAGTTTCTGCTCACCTCACTCCTAGCCCTCTTGCTGACAGTCTTGAAATTGTGACCCCCTAATTACTGACACAGCAACTAGTAGAAACAGAATATCCTTCTTTACCCTGTCAAATTGTCCATAATTTTGAACACCTCAATAAGGTCACATCTGCTCCAAAGAAAATAAGCCCAATTTTCCCAAATCTTTCCTTATATCTAAAATTCCCTCATTCCTTGTATCATTCTGGTAAATATCCATTGCATTCTCTTCAGGGCTTTAACATCTTTCATTAAATCAAGTGCCCAGAACTGAACACAATACTCCAAATGTAATTTGACCAATTATTTGTAAAGGTATAGCATCACTTCCTTGCTTTTATACTCTGTGCCTCTATTTATAAACCCAAGGATCCTCTAAGCGTTCTTAACAACTGTTTCAGCTTGCCTGGCCACCTTCAGAGAATTATGCACTTGAACCCTGAGGTCCCTCTGTTCCTGCACTCCCCTCAAAGTTGTATCATTGAGCCTGTTGTCTCCTCTTGTATCTTCAACCAAAATGCATTACCTCACATTTCACTGCATTGAATTTTATCTGTCAGGTGTCTCCTCATTTCAATGTCCCTCTGAAGTTGCCCAGCATCATCATCATAATTCACAATTCTCCCTGGCTTGGTATCATCTACAAATGTAGTGAATTTGCCCTCAACACCCATTTCCAAATTGTTTATATAAATCAGAAAAGACATGAGTTCTTCCAACACTGACCCTGGGAAACATGACTTTCAACTTGTCTCCAATCTCGGAAATGCCTATCTATACCTACCCTGTTTCCTGTCTTTTTGCCAACTTGTAATCCAAGCTGCTAAAGGATCTTCCGATTCCAAACATTCCTAATTTGCTAACCAACCGGCCATTTGGCAACATTTCAAATGCTTTCTGAAAGTCCAAATATACAAAATCCTCAGCACTACCCTCATCCAATTACTGTGTCACCTCACCAAAGAATGCAATCAAATTTGTCAGACATGACCTACCCTTGATAAAGCCATGTTGACAATCTAATATTAACTTACTTTACTCAAAGTGTATATTTACCTTATCTAATATCATGGCCTTCATCAGTTTTTCCACTATTGACCTCTTCTGTTTTATCCTCCAGAAACTTACTGTGACATTAGTCTGTGTGTGTCCTTGACTGGGTGTCCATGTGCGTGGACGAGAATGCTATAAGGGCCAAACTGTGTGAACAGCCATTTTAAACAATCTGGCACTGCAGGTAAAACAAATGGGAAAATTCTCTCTCACTTTAAATACCAGAATTCAATCACTGTCAAAGGGTATCAGAACAAGAGAATTTTCAACAACTTGCCAAACAAATAGTCTCAATTTAACTTGCTCAATTGCAAACATTAGTGCTAACGGTGTCATCCAATAATAGGTACAATACCTTATCTGTTCATTGGGGTCTAGGAGAAAGGTATCCATAAAGAAAGGAATCCTTTTTAGATTAAAGATAAGAGCTCTTTATTATGTAGACTTGGATTTTACTGTGAGATTGTTTCAAAAGATTTAAGAATCATTTTAAATTAGCATGATGGTTCATGGCTTGTTGTGAGGGATGGCTGAGTAACCAATGAGAGTGAGATCAGCCCTCCTCTCCAGGGAGTTTTACAATTCCAGGTATCCCATTCGGAACAATAGCAAGAGAACCTCACCTGGGATCTGATAATAACATTTGCTATTTGCCCCAATGTTATCACTTCCACTTTGTAAATTAATGCCATATTTGTAATAGTTCTCAGTATTTAACTATTTCTGGTTTGAATTTTAATGGTTTATAATTGTTACAAGACATTTTGAAATATTGTGATCATTCTTAATCGAAGTAAGGCAATTTAATACACATTCTATGGTGAATATATATTAAAGCCTTACATCAGATGCCACGATCAGCTCTTTACCACCATGTGTGTATAATTGCCCTTTTTCTCTGATGCTTTATTTCAGTTTCTTTACTTACTTTTGATCTTTTTTTCTACCAATTTCTGCCTCGCTGTGTTTCTTCTGCTTTTTGTTCAACAATCAATTTCCTTCCCTTCTCACTGCTTTTGCAAGAGGAGAGGATGTTCAGTAGAAATTAATTGGAGGTTTCCTTCCACATTTGAATGCGTAAGCATTTTATAGTAATGTACTGATGTAGATTAAAAATGCTTAAAATTAGAGCAGGTAATTTTACCAAGGTTATCTGCTGCAGTCATGAAGTGGAGGTACATTTTCTGTCATGTAATGGCAGAGGATTCTGACTGATGCATCCCTCTTCCCCATCATGTCAATGTGGTAATTAGTCTCCACACACAGAGACCTGTGAAAGAACCAATACAAATATATTCCTAAATACATGGGCCAAAGGCATTACAGTCTTTGATTTTGTAGTACAAATGTGGCTGTATGGTCTGTACTTCAGCAAATAGATGCACATTATGTTATAAAGTTTATCCCTTGTGATTTGCAGAGGGTCACATCAAACAACTATGATCTCATGGCCATATACACAAGTGTTTGAGGAATGGTAAATGCATGACAGCAGTTCAGTGGAGTGAGCCTGAACAAAGTTGATTTATCTGACTGATCAATGGCCAACACTAAAAGCCTGCATTATAACACAAAACTGGATATTTTAAAATAAAGATTTTATTATTTTGACAATGGTATTGCCTGAATTGTGTTCTGATACAACACACAAAATTAGATCACAGACATTAATATCTGTTGAATAAAACAAAGAACTGCAGATAATGGAGATATGAAACAAACAAAAACAGAAACTGCTGGAGAAACTCAGCATGTGTGGCAGCATCTGTGAAGAAAAAACAGAGTTAATGTTTCAAGTCCAGTGACCTTTCTTCAGAACTGATTAATATCTCTTGATTTTGCAGTGGTTTTGGCTTACAGAACTCTGCAGCTCCATATTTGATTAGATTGATACCAGCGCATTCCAAAACAAATGTAATATCTGGATGATAAGAGGACAATAATTTTAACTTTGCTTTGGGGTCAATGCTGTGGCACGCAAGTTACACCTAAAACATTCAAATTGTTCAATATCATAAATCAGTTGAAATGCCATTTGAGAAATTTGCCTCTTGAGTTTTCATCACTGCGTACTTTCTCTAAAGTCAGTCAAGAGACTTAAAGTGGAATTATCCAAGATAGGTCACGGCATTGCACACAAAGGAGCATCCACTAGAATTGATTTGAAAACGATTAAGCTTTGCTGTGTCTTAAGGTACCTTATTAATGGATTAACAGTATTATTGTAGTTTGTGGCTTCATTGCAATATTACTGTACATCTTCATATCATAGAATACTTACAGTGTGGAAACAGGCCCTTCGGCCCAACAGGTCCACACCGATCCTTGGAGCATCCCACCCAGACCCATCCCCATATAACACACTTAATCTACACATCCCTAAACACTACGGGCAATTTAGCATGGCCAATCCATCTAGTCTGCACATCCTTGGACTGTGGGAAGAAACCCACACAGACAGTCGCCCGAGGGTGGAATCAAACCCGGGTCCCTGGCACTGTGAGGCAGCAGTGCTAACCATTGAGCTACCGTTTTGCTGAATAAGAGTAGCGAAAAACCAGAAGATGTTTCAGGAACAATATAAATCTCCTACAGTGAACCAGGCAACATGCAAAGTAACACAAATCTGAGAGAAATTTGTCAGGGCTTCTTTTGTCATTGAGGTCTGAATGAAAGGCTGGAGATCCACCGTATTTCATTTTCTATTGAGCTTTAAATTCAACATGGGTAGAATGTAAATTACAAAGTGGTGAAAAGGCATCTATTGGGATGGAAAAATCAGACAAAGTGCAAAACAGCCTGTCATATTTCCCACTTGCCCAAGTCACACACATGCCCTGATTCTTTTATATTCCTTCATGGAATTGAGAAACTTAAATATTCCCTTAGTTTCTAGGAGTCTTTAGAAACAGTAGCTCTTGAACAACATGCTGATATAATTTCAGAGAAGCTTTTCTAAACTTGATAGAGTGGACTGTTTAATTAATATCACAGATGATCGCGGTGAACAGGGTTGGCCAAGTCACATGGTGCAGGATGGTTATTGTTCTCTGTATGGACTTGCTGTGTTGCAACAAGTAAAATATTGTGCTGAATGTTCACTTTGGGAGGGGAACAGGAGTTGACACAATTTGTTGATCTGCAACATAGCAGTCAACTAGCATGCAAGTTTTTATAAATAGTAATGTGATAATGACCATCTAATCTGTTTTGTGATGTTGATTGAGGAACTAACAGTAGACAGTGGGGATCTTCTGTGCTCACCTGAGAGAGAACAGCAGAGTCTCAGTTTAACCTACCATCTAAAAGATTGTTCATCTGACAGTGCAGCATTCCCTCAGGACTGTTTTGCATCATCAGCCTAAATTTTTGCTCTCAGGAATGTGGCATGAACCGCCAACATCTAGGTCAGAGGTGACACTGCTACCAAATGAACTGAATCTGATTGAAAATAAATGTGAAATCTTACAGAGAATGACCACAATGTTGGATTGCTGATATTGTGAAACTGTGAAATTCTGTAATCTAATGAAATTTTCAGTTCTGTGTCCTGCTTCTTTTACATTTTAGTTTTCAGAAACTTATTTGCACTTGTTTTGCCCTGTGGTCCAGTAGGACTATGACAACTTCACTTTTTTTTTTAATCATGCAGTAGGATTAGAAATAGTTAGGTGCTGGTTTTTTTTCTTACATTCAACCTCTGTACAATGCTATCCCATTGCTGATGGGCCCTCAGTTTACAAATAGGATGACCCTCTAACAAAAGGAGCATTTTGATGTTATTTGATGATGTTTACAATGTAGCACAAACTTTCACAATCCACAGTTAGATTGCCACGCTCTGAATTTATAGAGTTTACATCCTCCTTTAAGAGAAATAGAGCCTGTTTTTATTGACATATTAACATTTTGCTGAATCTGCATTGCGTAGCTTTTAAACACAACATTTCCACCCTATTCCTACTCTCTAACGAAACAGTTTTTTTTTCTCTTTACACTCTGGTAAACAGGAAATACTTTCGCAAAAAGCCATGAGTTAGGTTGA